CTGCTGGAATCACTGGAACTGCTTGAATCACTAGAGTCACTGGAGCTACTCGAATCACTAGAGTCACTGGAGCTGCTCGAGTCACTGGAGTCACTGGAGCTGCTTGAATCACTAGAATCAGTAGAGTCACTTGAGCTACTGGAATCACCAGAGTCGCTGGCATCTTGGGCCCCATTGGAACCATCTGGGCTTCCGGGATTTGCTGAGTGGCTTGATTGTTCTGATTCCTCATCATTTGAATCGCTTGAACTACTTGGTGCCCCAGGTTGCTGACTGGAGTCGCTCTCACCAGAATCAGAGTCATCAGCATATCCAGGGTCATCTCCTTGCATGCCCTCATCATATAAATTGAAGCTGTCAAAGCTGTAATGATCATTAGAGAACACGTCAACATCTTTTCTTGACTTAAGACCATTCCTGCTATGGGCTCCATCGCTATATTGTTTTCCAGGGAAGGAATCTGTCTCGTGAACGTTGGGGCTTCTGGTTGTGGATGCTGGACCTAGAACTGCATTGTTCTCTCTCTTATCCTCAATGTAATTTTCTTCCACATTGATCTTTTTGAAAAGATCCCCTTGAGAGCTTTTAAGGTATTGATTTTCCTGTGTATTATACTGGCTGTTACTTGTGGTTTGTGCAAGTCCTATGCCGTCCTGAAGCAGCTGCCTCTCCTTTGCATTTGGATGCCCTCCGTAGGGACTAATAGCATCATCTGTAGAGGTTTTTCCAGCTGTAACATGTTGTTTCTTGAGGTGGACCAATATTCCTCCTCCCTGGTGATCGCCATCTTTGTTTTGCTTCTGCTCGTTATTATGGGCAGGGTTAACTTCTATTTTTTGGTCTACATTAGTAGAATTAAGATCGTCCCTGGGGCCTCTTCTAAGTACATCGCTCCTCTGGATCTGTCACAAAGAAGCATGAAATATTAGTATGTGAACATATTTAGAGACATGTTACTCGAAAGTGTGGATTTTGGAGCAAAAACCCCTTTATTGAATCTGCCTTAAGGAATCATAGGATATATATCAATAATTCTTTAGTTCAGGGGTCTCCAACCTT